GAACCACTGCCATAGAAGCGAAATAATTTTCACCTCTGGTCGAGGCAATGTCCTGCACTGACATCTGCCTCAATCACAGTCTTGGAGATAAGAAGTGTTATCATCAAGCCTCCCTCTGGCAGCCCTTCAAAGCATCTGCTATGGGCCAACCTATGACAAAGTGCCTCTAGGGTTTTGGCTGCCATCCCAAAAGGAAGCTGCTTGTACTAAGCCTCTAGGTCTCAAGCAGGAGAAGATAGCCAAACCACAGGTCCCTACCTGCTGGTTGTCAGGCACCTTTCGGACAAGCACCTCCGTTATCTTCCTTGGAACATCGCTGTCATAATCGACCTCCCTCTCCCGCAGCACCGTAATGTCAGCCCCAACCCTGCCACAAAGACAAAAGGAAGGAGTGAGACACATTTGTACTTGACAGCTCTTGCACCTCTACCATAACAGCTGACAAAACGAATGGGATGAAGACTGGGGATAGCAGGGAAAGAGCCTCAAGCTTCCAGACAAAAGCCCTATAACTTTCCTCATGTTTCCAGAGCCTCAGGACTGAAGGAATGTGAGTCATACAAGGGCTTTGCAGGATGGAGCCGCCAGCTGCTCAGGGGACTCCAGGGAATCATGCTTTGGGCCCTGCAGACAAAAGGGAGCACGTACTTCTCTGCCATGCGGCGCAGCGTCTTGAGTGAGGCTCGCATCTCCTCCTCTGAGAGGCCCACCAGCAGCCCATTGTCCTCCACGCCGATCTGATAGACGGCCTCACCGCGGCCCTCCTGCAGTCGCCACTTCAACTGTGTCACTAGGTGCTCAAAGCGATACTGCGAGGGGTTCACCAGCTTTAGCTGTTGAACAGAAGGGTAGTTCTAGTCACAGCCTGGATGGAGAAGCAATCCCATTGCCCAATTTTGTGAAGCAATGTTCCCAACTCTGATACACCTCTAGAAAGCACAGCCTGTATTAGTGTCTGAACAGAAGCCATGGAACAGGTGAGAAGGGGTTTCACAAAGGTACAAATATATGGTAGAAGAACTCTCCTGCATCCTGACATAGGGATTTGTACCCTGGCTGCTGCAGGATTAAAGACAGCACTCTGGGACCAATCTGTGATCCAGGAGCCAATAAGTGCAAATGACAGAGCAGCCACAAGAAAGTGGCAAATAATTTTCAGCAATATCTGCATCTCTCTCTCAAGAAAAATACAGTAGGCATCACATGCTAGAAGAGATTCCTAAAAATCAGTACTGAGATCCAGCTTTACCAGCTCAGCAGACTGGTTAAAGCTTGGCACAGAGACACAAAAGATGAATGGTAGTTCCTTAGTGCAGTGTCCACTCTTCCATCCTTTCCTTGGCCATGTTACCCATAGGCTGTCTTTGGTGAAGTTAATCACTGCAAAATAACCCTCTGGCAGGAAGACCTCCTTCTGCAACCTCAAAAGACTCACCTTGTACTCGATGTTCCCATCTTCTGCCTGGTCAGAGAATGAAACAAGACAGAAGAGTTAGATGCTGTGCCCACAGGGACTTCTACAGGCACCAGCTGCCCATATATTCTGAAGCTGGTGCTGAAGATTTCAAAGAGAGGGAAAGTGGCAGAAAATGACTGTGTTAATCCCAGCTTTCTGCCATTCTTTCCAACACTCAACTAGAACTTTCCAAATGATTTGTTTGTGCTGTTTGTATCCCATATCATGAACACCAAAGGACAAAACTAGAGTGGGGTACAAGGGTAGTACTGTCCAGGGGGGAAATTTTTTTCTAAACAGTAAAGAATAGGGCCAGCCTAACAGTCAGAGAGAAAGTTCCAGTTTCAAAAAGGTACAGGCCAGCATATGACTTACAGTGTCACCCCTCACCCATCTGTGACCCACAAAATGCCACCCACAGCATCCCACTCCCACCCTATCCAGCAGCTTCCATCCATCCAATGTGCACAGAAAAAGGGCCTGAGAACAAAAGCTTCTGCTTCCTCTCCTGCTCAATGATACTCTCCCTCACTCAATTTTTTAATTGACTCCCTTCTACATCCTTATGTATCTTCTCTCTACAAGGAAGGACTACAGACATAAAGAAGCATGGTAATGACTCATTTGCTAGCTAGTCACTGGCCAAAGTTCTGGAGAGCCAGACCTGATTGGGACTGTCTGTACCCAATATGTTCAGAAGTACTTTCTCAGGGAAGGCTAGATGGGGTTGTAACAGAAAGGTCTGGGTACTCATCAAACTCAATTCAACCAAAACAGGCTCCAGCTTACCAAAGAGAATTGTATCTAATTTTAAAATTAGATATACAATATTTAAGTATTTTTTTCCCAGTGATTCACTATAAGGACCAATAAGAAAGGGCTGGAGCCTGTAGGAAGCCATATACTCTGTCAGACTAAATGGGGCTGGCAACAGTAGGCACTTCCTTTTCCTCTGGACACCTATTTGCATGTCAGGAGAGGCAACAGCCCTATCCTTGCCTTCCAGCTCAGCTCTTAACCACAGTGGCACTTACAGTGGCAAAAGGCCAACAGAAGTTCTCAATTGTCAGCTCAGTTCTCTGGCTGCAGAGCTATGCCATGAGAAAAAGGTACTTGTAGCAGGTTTTCCCTTCTTGCCATCTACCAGTTCTAAGCAAAACCCATTCACCTACTGCACTGTCGTCTAAATAAGGGAGTGGGTCTTCTCCAAGGCTCTTGAGACTAGAAAAGCAACGAGCCTAGACTTGCTGGGGCACACACTGCACAGGGTAGCCAGAAACAGGAAGCTGAGTTGAAACCACAAGAGACTCTCCAGCCTCCAGCTGAAAGGAACAACTGCGGCTGCAGGGCACAGTCCTGCCCGTGGAGAAGATCTAACACTAGCAAAGTACTGTTTTCACATCTTCCCAAGAGTACCAGGTCTGTCTTGTGGAGGAATTGCTTGCTCCCAGCACAGGCTATTATATATTTTACAGAAAGTTCACTGACAGGGGCCGAGCAATGGAGTCTGAACCAATGTAATTCCCCCCACAGTGACAGTTCTATGAAAGCGGTGACAACTGCCCCAGCTGAGCACACATCCACGCTACTACCAATGCCACTTCTTCCTGCTGCAAGAGACAAGTGCCCTACCCCCTGTCCATACCATCTGCAGCCCTGTGCAAGGAAACAGCTGTCAAATTAGCTGGGGAGTCACCTGTAAAGGGGCTCAGACCCAGCAGAGCAGATCGCCTCTCGGGGAGAGATGCAAATGAGATGCTTGGAAGTACGAGGCGAGCAAAGCTTTATTTTCGAAGCTTTTCGATGGGAGGCGGCAAAGCGCCCGCAGACAGACGCCAAGCAGTGCGATACCACTCACGGGCAGGGTCCGGCGGACCCCGCAGGGAGCTCGCTGGCACCGGGTGCGCGAGCACGGCCCGGAGGAGAGCCCGGGCAGGCGGGCACACGGCTCCCGGGGCCGTGCGGCTGCTGTCAGCCCGACCCCGGCACAGGCCCGCACCAGCACCGCCGGCACCTCCAGCCAGACCCAGCCAGCGGGGTCCGGCCGAGGTACCGACCCGCTCTGGGGGGCACCGGCCCTCCGGCCCCTCCCGCCCCCGGGCCTGGTCTCGCTCCCTCCGCGGCTGACGGGACGCGGCGGCCGCCGGAGCTCACCTCGGGCGGCAGGAACGGGGGGTTGTTGGCCTTCCCTCCGCGGCTCCGCCCGTTCTTCTTCTTCGTCTTCGAGCCGCCGCCGCCGCCAGGCGCAGCCCCCCCGCGCCCGCGCAGCGTAGCACCTGCCCCGCCGCCCGCCGGCCGACAGCAGCCCCCGAACAGCTCTGACACCCGGGAGTCCATGGTGGACACCGCGGCCCCGCCGCCCCGCTGCAGCGTCCGCTCCGCTCCCCGCCCAGCCCCGCCGGCCCGGCTCCGGCCCCGGCGTCACAGACAGCCGCGCGGCGCCCCGGGAAAGCGAGTCCCGCCCGCCTACGACGCCAAGAACGCGCTGCGCGCCTCCTGCTCAAAACTACATCTCCCGGCGTGCCCCGCGGCGCGACTTGCTCGGTCCCGTATGGGTTCTACCTGCGGGGGCTGATGGGAGCTGGAGTCCAACGGAGAGGGCGCCGCCTGTCGGCCCCGGTCGACAACGTGCGGGATACCGCCGCTCCCCGGGCCCCGCTGCCGGGATCTGCGGACGCCCGTGGGTTATCCATTTGTCAGTTCACAGCCCCGGGTTCCCTAGTTATTGATATCGAACGATCAGTCATTCTGGATTCAGTAAACTTAGGCACTTTCGAAGCTGTTTGGCCTTGGAGGTATCTCATGACTACGCAGAGGCAGCAGCCCGACACAGAGCGATCCCAAAGCCCACGTTAAGATCCAACGAGGAGGGCGGCCGGAACAGCAAAAGAACCTGTAGCTGTGCGCCGCATCCCCTCACTAAGTGTATTCCCAATCTCCAGTTCCACGGCCACTGCGCCTTCTCTTTCCTCGCCGCATGCCCTGGGGAGAGCGACCCTGGATCACTGTCGGTGTAGAACTGACACAGGTGGCCGCGGTTCCTGTAAAGCAGTCTCAGAAAAGCTCCTCTCACCATCCCGCCCTCCACTCGCCATGCGCTGGAGGCGGCACCCAATGGGGCGGCGGGCACAATGTTTCCAAACACGGCACTCCCTGCAAGCTCCCCGCCTCCGCCACCCCGCGGCACCGCGAAGGCGGCTCTTCCGCAAGACAGCGGAGCCGCCAGAGCTGCCGGGAGCGGGGCTGAGGAGAGCGGAGCCGCCTCCTGCGGATAGCCTTGAAAGAAGCACAGCCCAGGTCCCGGCACGGCCTCAACCGAGGGGCCCCGGGCCGGGATCGGGTTGGGAACGGAGGGGCGGGGCTACGCGGAGACCTCCGCCCCTGCCACGCCCGCCAAACTTGGTGGCGTCGCCGCCAGAGGGCGCGCGGTGCGGTCCGTGCGCCCTTCCCGTGAGGCTCGGCGGCGGCGGCATTCAAACGCGGCGGCCGTTGGGGCGCTCGCTCGCTCCGCGCTCCCGGGCTGGCGGGCCTGGGCCGCGGCGCGATGGGGCCCCAGGGGGACGCCTCGGTGCCGGGCGGCCCCGCCGTGGCCGTGGCCTTCCCGGGAGCTGTGTGCCGGGGCAGCGGCTGCCGCTTCGCCTGCGAGCTCCTGAAGCACGTCCTGCACCAGCGGAACCAGCTCCCGCTGCCCTACGAGCAGCTCGCCTTCTTCTGCCGGCGGGCGGCCCAGGTGAGGGGCGGCGACCGCGGGTCAACCCCGGGCCGGGGGACTGGGTGGGCCGCGGCGTTTGGATTTTGCTTGCGAGCTTCTGTTCTCGCTCGGGGACTCGTACAGCAACGTGTCGGTGCCTTTAAAGTAAAGCGCTTGTTGTGGCTGCATCCCTAAATGCCTTTGCCTCTTCTTTTCAAAACGAGGCAAAGGCAGCGTTAAGTTCAGGCTGCTGAAGGTGCCGACAAATTGCTCTCAGTTGATTGTTTCATACTTTCCGCTCAAAGCGTGTCACTGCCTTGTTTGTTACCTCTAAGCAAAAAACCAAACAAAAATACTATTAAATGTTTTCAGAGAGATGGCTGATCTTTGAAAGATGGGCTTCTAATTCCTATTGGAATTAATTAGTAGGGCGATTCAGATTCCAGCTGAGTAGCTATGGATTGTGCTTTCGTGTTCCTCTTGCCATTTCGTGATGCGGAGAGATGTGCATCCTCCCCATGTGGGTACCTGTAGCTCTCAAAATGAACACAAGCTGCTTGTTCCTTGACTCTCTGGGATGGGCCATGCTTTCTGCAGCATATAATACATGTTCATAACTAACTGTGTTAATATGAATTTTTGTCTTCCAGGATGGAGTTGGAATTGGGAAACCACATTCCCTGGGCCTGGCAAGCAGAAAGTGCCAGCAGCTGCTGATGGAGCTGGAGGGATTGTTCCAGCACCTGGAAGTCATGTTTAGTCTGACGCTAGTTCCTCGGGTTCTTTTCCTACTTGGAGGCAATGTCATCAACCCCAAGGAGCTCTATGAGCTGAATTTGGAAGGGTTCTGTGAGGGCTCTGCTGAAGAGAGCCTTGAGACTGCGCCCTGTGTTCGCCAGCTCTTTCACCGCCTGTTTGTTGCTGACGTCTTTAGTGAACTTAAGGCTCTCCCTGTCACAGTCACTCTTGTCCTGGTCCAGGGCCACCGTGACTGTGGTGTTGAGTGGTTCCGGCCCAAGCTCAACTACCAAGTGCCGACCCGAGGGAGGAAGCTGACTGTTAAGTTGTCCTGTGATGGAGACCTCCATGTTAGTGCCTCACCTCCACAGCACACAGTACCTGCTTGGGAGGACTACGTCTGGTTCCAAGCACCAGTGACCCTCAAAGGCTTTAGTGAATGAATGGTTTCTGTAGAAATTTAATTGGAAATATTTAATTGGAATACTGATTACCTTTTTTCTTTAGGTGTTAATTTTAGCAAATGTAACCATGTATTTTTGAACCATGTCTGTCTGAATTTTTTTGTCTTCATGGTGTCTACTGCCTTCCTGTATCTTGCTGCGCTCTTCTATTGTCCATATTTCCTGAGCTGTTGAAGGCAAATCCTCTTTAAGGAACAGTTGCACACAGGTCCAGCGATTCTTTAGGGACCTGATCTGTGACATGGGATGAATTAATGTGTTGGGAGTAAAACTTCCATGCTGTATGCTTGCTGAACTGGTAAAGGCTGGATATGTACAATCTCCTCCTGAGTTTTAATATGGCTATTTTCTGACACTGCCTCTGTCATGTTACACATAGGCTCTCTTAGGTGAAGTTACAAAATAACTATCTGGAAGGAAAACCTGTAGTCCTTGAAAGGCTCCCTATAGCAGGAAAACCAGCAGGCAAAACTGGAGCGGGACACAGAGGTAAAATTGTTGCGGAAGAGAGATTTATTTCCAGCTGGTAAAGAATGGGGCAGGATGAAAGCTGCCAGGGCTGGGTGGAGATGGACGGAGCTGCTTCCAGGGGCCCCCTGGCAACCCTGCAAGCAAACAGCTCTGCAGCTCCTGACACTGCCTCAGCTGCAATGGTGTGTGCCCTACTTGAGTAATCAAGTGCTTTTCCATCTATTTGATAAAATTACACTTTCCTATAACTCACTTTCTGTTCCTTAACACTCCAAAGTAAGACTTCTCAGTTGCTAGTACTGTCTTGGAGAAGGAAGGAGACTGGTACTGTGGAGGCAGGGTAGCAATAAGCAATTTTTTTTTTGTACTGATGTTTGCCTAACAGCTGTCACAATTGGTTGGATGTAAGATTAAAAATAAGCAATTTCTTTGCTAACCCTCTTCAGAGAAAGTTAAAGTGCTGTTGCAATAATGGAAGATTACTCGCACTCAAGGAAGAAACTTTGACTTAAATGTTTCTGAAATGCATAGAAATCAGGGGAATGTGATCAAGCTTAGCACTATCTTTACCTGGCAAATTCCTGTTCTTAGTCAGACTGTATTAGAATCAGAACTTGAGCCTGTTCTTCTGGGCTGGTGTCTACTGCAGAACAGGACAGGGAGAGAAGCCCTGAGAGCAGTGTGTTAGAGCTAGATATCTGCTGCAGTTGTCTTCAGTCAGCTGGTCTATAATCTGTGCTGTAATGAGCTTTCAGTAGCTTGAAATAACTTCATCCCATTTGAAGAGAAAGCTGAACTTACTGGTAGTGAGGGTACTTGCTGTTACTAGTCAAAAATGCAATGGGGTGGTAAAAATCCTTTGTGAAGAGGGTGAAGGTTGAAGTAACCATCTACGCTTGGTGCATATTTTAACTTTGACCTTTTGGAATGGAATGAGATGAAGTAGTATGAATTTAATTTGATGTTTTTGAGCTTGGAGAACACTAGAGTGCCCTCTCTGCTGTAGTATCCATTAATATCTGTTTACAATGTGCAGGAGCTGCTTCTTAAGCTCATTCTAGGGGAAAATATTTAAGTGAAGAAAGCTGCATTACGTGCAGCTGCCCACTTGAAAATGAAACCTCAGGTCTCTTGAAGGCAATATAACTTGAATTTAGAAGTGTTTGTACTCAGGAGATTAGAACCCTTTATGCCTCCACCAAAGATGCTTGTAACACATGTTTAAGAATGCAGGTGCCCAAGTGTTTAAATAAGCTTTTAAACAGAAGCCTTGACCAGTTCCTTTCACCTCTCTTCCTCAGATGAGTGCAATGTTACTGCAATAAACTGTTTACAACTTCTGTTTTACTTGAACTATGAATGCAACAATGATATGGTGCTGGTGACAAAGGAACACAAGATGCTTTTTGAACTTTTTTTTTTATGAAAACATTAAGAATTTGATTTTAAAAATCAGTACTGTAATTATTATCAAAATAAAATGCTGGTTTATATATGTGATTATTTTGAGGGATTAAACAAGTCTAGTCTAAAGGTTCTGCCACTGGTAGAACCACTTGTTTCCATTCTGTGCATATACTTCAACTGCAGGCTCACAGCTGTTCCACTTTTCGGACAAACTGCATGATGTCTTGTGCCAGGAGCTTTGGTTCCTCAAAGGCAGCAAAATGCCCTCCACGTGGCATGTAAGTGTAAGTGATGATGTTCTTGTAGACATCCTTTGCCCAGACACGTGGTGCATGTAAAATCTCCTGAGGAAAAGCTGCAATCCCTGTGGGAACATATACTCCAACCCTAGAAGACACAAATCAATTGCATTGTTGAAACAAGTCCTGGGGGAAGTCTATAAAAACCTCTGTCTCTGGGATCACATTCAGCTGGAGAAGTTTTGCCACTTTGTGCAGTGCACCTCCTGGTCTGCATTCCACTGAGGTGTTTCATTTCTATTCAAGTATCATTGAGTTTTTTAAGATGATATCTGTAGAGGTGCAAAGTAGAGCCAACTTTGTACACAGGTTGCTCTTGAAATGTTCCCCATCTTTGAGCTTAACTTTTGTAAGCTGCCGTGTTGTGCTACATGACACCTCTAAGAATTAGCCAGCTCCTGTTTGCTTTAAAATTTGGCACCAAATGCATAACAAATGACCCTCTGGAGAGGAAAAGGGCTGGTTCAGTCCACCAAGGAAAGGACTCCCCCACATATTCAGATGCTCAGTTACTTGGAGAAGTCTGTTCAGCAACATTTTGTGGTCATCCTCTCTTAGCATCATCTTAATGTACCAGCTGTCACAAGGTGCTGGGTTTCAAGTACTACTCTCCAAATTGCTACCCCAGGTTTGTGCTTAACTCTTGTAGTTCTTAGCTTATCCTCCAGCAAGTAGTAGCCTTCCTAATTCAGTTTAAACTTCTCTCTCAGATGTGCCCATGATCTCCTGTTTTGTTTTCACTGAACTGGGCTACAAGTCACATTTATTAGGTGAATAAGTATATAGACTTGTATTTTGAACACAAGAATGCGCTTGGTGCTTAGATAAGTCTTTTGCATTGTCTTGGCTGCAAGATGCCTTGTGTGCATTATAGGTTCAAAAGAAAAGTGACCCTTAACTATATTTATCAAAAGCAAGTAAGAATTTGGACTTCCATTTTTCTTAGAACTAAGTAAATGTGCTGTTTTAAGTGATCTAACTGTTGATATAGGCAAATGTTTCAACCTCATTTGCAAATCTGCCTTGTGAATTGCCACATAATTACCTGTTATGAATACTCGGGTTCTTGGAAAAGTTTTCCTTGTAGTATCGCATTGAGGACACAATGGAGGATGTCACCCAATAAATCATCACATTGGTCAAAAGCTCATCAAGAGAGTATTTGCTGTCAGGAGAGAGGAAGAAATTTAACTGGAAGCTGTTCCTCAGTGCTCTGTACTGGGCTCATGCCCTGAAGTACTGCTGTCTCTTAATCTCCACTTATTTTCAAGCAGCAAATTAATTGGCACCTGTGTGTTCAGAGCAAAACTACGTGGTATTGAAGCAGTAGTGTGCAAGCAGTCTGCTGTAAGTTTAAACTAGTGCTTGTCATGTCAGCCTTTCCTCCTTAAATTTCAGCTTTGACAGGCCAGTATTTTACCCATATCATCATACTAGCTCCCACCAGTCATTCTTCTAATGAGACTTCTCACGGAATAAGGTCACAAACTAACATCTTACCTTTCCAAGCCTCCATCATCTTTATGCAGAAATGATTTGTCTGTCCAGGTTGAGAATTTCTCCATAATATATGCAGCAAGCCCCACTGGGGAGTCATTCAATCCACAACCTAATTGAGGAGAAGAGCTGTTGCAGTTGCCTGGCATTGCAATACTTCAGTGCAAGTTAAACTGAACTTTCATGAATTGTTTGGATTTTTCTAGAGAATTCAGTAGAGTCTGTATTTATCTATCCCTTACAGTGCTTTATTTGCAACAAATTCCCTGTAAAGGAATTCTGTCTGTAACTGAGGGCACTACAAATCCACCTGATTCCTATACGAAAAAAGCTGAGAGCTAAGGAAGTTCCATTGGCTTCTTGGTGATGTGTGGTAGAAGGAGTAAATTCAGATGTAAAGAGATGACAATCTGAAAAGAAATTTCAGATAAAATATTTGGGAGCACTGTCCTGCTTAGGATGGGATGTATTCTGATTCTAATATATATTTATGAAACAGGGCGAATGGGAATGCAACAGATTCAGAATATCACGTATATAATGGATTCTGTATTTTTGCTTTTTGTATTTTTTTTTTAAGAGTTTGTGAAATTGCCTTAATCTTTGACCCAGATGATTTTTGAGAGCACTACCCTTGACTCATGGATTCTCTCATAGGGCAGCAGCCAAACTTGAACCCAGTTGAATTGTGACTTTCTTAAATTGCTTTGAACTTTGTTGATATTGGGTTTTATTGGCAGGTTTTATCAACCAGTCACTTATAAACTAAAGCTTGGATAGCTGTCAATTTTACATCTAATTATTAACTTTTATTCATAGAGAAGTTAGGATCTTGTTAAAGGGCATAGGTGTCAGCACAGATTTTTGTGATTCTCTCCCTCCACTGGAACTTGTGGATTTATTCCTGTGCTTGGATTCTCACATTGACTAGTTTTAATCCTTTTCTTAAGGAAGTTCAATTTCTTAAGAATTATGGGGAAGTGGTCTCTACAAAATATTTTTTGTAATTATATAAGTTCCATTAGTGGGTCTATAGTTATTTGATTCTGCCAGAGCTCTGATTCTTGAAGCATGATTTCCCTGTGATATTTTCCCCTGTAAATCAATTCTCCTTGTTTAAACAATTCTGTCAGATTCCTGATCAGAGACAAGACATACTAATCTTCATTGTTCTGTGGATACCTACACTTTTTGACCCTTAAAAACACCCAAGCAACCAGAAACACCACCACCACAACTCTCCCCCACCTGGTATGTTGTTTATCTCCTTTTAATTATTTGGGTTTGCAATTACTTCAAGCAATAATCTAAGCATTCATTGACATTCCAGTTTGAGCTTCTTCTTCTCCTTTAGTGACTTGCCAGGATGAGGGACTGTTTGTTCTCTAGGATCCAAATCTGACACTAGCCTGAGACAGCTCTGCTGTCTTTCATGATGAGGGATTATTTCAATAAAGCAATACCCCAGAATCCTCTCTAGTGGGGCCTGATACAAAGAAAGCTTTATGAAATGGCCATATCTTTCTTCACAGTCCTTATCCCCTGGTCCCAGGACATCAGCATTCTGGCTTTTCAGGTGTTTGAACTCTGTCTACCTTTTTGCAACTTTGATATTGTACCTCTTTGCTTGTGATATTTTTCTTGTTTTCAGCCCCATTTACTTCTCAAAGCTTCAATTTCAGAACCCTGTGTTTACCTTTTGAGAAACTCTATAGAAAGGGGTTAATTCTCAAGGAGAGTGCTATTGAAAAGACCTTGAAAAGTTATACTTGAAATCTCCATCTTTTTTTGAGTGGTTTCTTTTGACTCCATTTTATACAGTTCTCATCCTCATGAACTCATTGCCCACGTAAATCTTGTACTCAAGACACCCGAACTCATTGCTTCTTAAATTTGGCTGGTCTTTGTTTTTGTGTACCATGAGTGATTAGTGTACCATGTTCACAGGGATACAGAGAAGGTACATTACCTGCAGTGTCTGGTTTCGTGGCTTGGATGTGTAAGTATCCAGACTCTCGCAGGACATCATATATGTTCTTCTGCATGAAAGGGTAGAGACGTCGAGCATCTTCCCTACTGAAGCCTACAAGCCATGGTACATAAGCCCCAAGCATTATACTAATCACCTTTCCCAAACCTTCTAGGGTGACGAAAACAACATTCAGATGAAGCCCTTTCACAGACCTAAAAGTAATTTAAGGAGTAGAGGGTTAAAATAAGCAATTTTCTGTCTCCAAGTTTTCTAGAAAATAAGTCTGACTGCAGCTGGGAGAGAAACACTGGACTGAATCAAATACACCAAGCCCTTCAGATTCATTATTAAAAAAAATGCAATACAAAGCATACGAATGCAATTGAATATACAGGATGGGGTTGTCCCTGAAGGAAACAGAGCAGAAGGGGATGAGAAGCAGGCAAACAGAAAGTAGGACTGTGGAGCCAGAAAGTAGGGTAAGAATTGGAGCTTTTCTGCACTGCTTTCCTTTGCTACTTACTGTGGCAGCATCTGGGCCATGTTTGTGGTAATGCGAGATCCCCAGTCTCCTCCCTGTAGATAGTATTCCTTGAAGCCCAATCTGTTCATCAGCTTATGAAATATCCGAGCAGTTGCTATGGAGTCAAACTCTGTGGGTAAAGGGAAACACAGGAGACCTGTTGGTCCTAGTCTTCCTCCCCTGGCCAAAGACTGTGACCTGACCGAGGCATGTGTGTGTGGAGCTGTGGGAAAGACAGTGTGCAATGCTGCTCTGCCTCACTTCTTGGAAAGAAAGTGAGCACACAATGAAAGAAATTCAGTGGAAAGCAAAATCAGACCTGACCTCCAGTTAACATTGTGTTGCAAATCTCCACAGCCAGCCCCAGAGCCTCAGCCACATGGGCCTTAAGTGAAGAGCCAAGCATCTGCACTACAAACTGTGGTGCCCCAGGGCTGCCTGGGATGGTTGAGGTGTTACTTCAGAAACTGCAATTCCAACAGAGCTTTTCATTGCTTACCTTTCTGGTGAGGGGCCTCTGAGAAACCGTATCCTGGGATGGAGGGGCAGATGACCTCAAACACCACATCACCCTCATTCAGGCCGTGCTTGGCTGGCTCCGTGAGCAGAGGGATGATCTTGTAGAACTCATAGAAGGAGCCGGGCCAGCCATGGACCATCAACAGAGGTCGAACAGCTTTACCATGAGGAACATAAGATGGCTTCACATGGATAAAATGGATATCAATCCCTGCCAGACATCCAAGAAAGAAAAATTAAAGCTCTGGGACCACAGTTTCTGCTCTGTATTCTGTAGAAGGAGGGAGGCAAAACTTTAATTAGCATCTGCAGCAGAAGTTCCACAATCAGCCCACTGCAAGAAGATGCCTGGCTGAAAGGGGATGCCTGGCATAATATCAGTTGTCTCATCTTTTACATACAGAGAGAGATATTGACCCCAACCACAGATATTGGGGTCATTGGAAATTAGCATCCATCTCCTGAGAAACTGGTCTCACTGTATATAAGTAAGAACTGCACTTGAATGAATAGCATAATGTGGGTAAGATACATACAGTACTTAAAAGAGAAACATGAAAAAGGGCATGATAGAGGTCTAACATAGAGATCACTTATGTAAAGACTTTCTTCCCTAGTCTAGAGATCATTTATGTAAAGTCTGGCTAAACTCACCTGACTAAACTACTGTGTGGTGGAGAGACATATTTCAGCTCAATCTGGCTAAATTTCACAGTTTTCAAAGATGGCTTCAAGGCAATCACAGAAGAGCACCTCATTGTTAGTTAGCATGGGTTTAGAACTAGATGAAGCTCATCTTGAATCAGACCTAATCTTATTGCCACTGTGTAATGGTCTTAATCCCTATAAAGTTATTAATAATAGAGCCTCCACTAGTTATATTTCACTTGTATCACTAAGCTGTTATGCATAGGTTATCTCAAATATTGTCACTTTTTACATCTCCCCCTTCTTGCTGTGCATTTCTGAGTGAGACCTATTCAAGGCACAGAGGCCCCCTCACCTTCAATGGTGGTGTGGAAGTGGGGGTATTTGTTTAGCACTTCCACTTGCTTGCGCCAGTCAAACTGATTCCTCCAGTAGGCCACCACCTTCCGCAGGTAGCTGGAGTTGAAGCCGTAGTGGAAGGCAGCTCCTTCCACAGGCGGTGTGAAGCGGAACCGATCCAGGCGCTGGTGGAGATCCTGTGGAAGGAAGCCCTTCTTGCCAGGCTGGCCAGCTGCTGGCAGGTGCCCTGTGCCAGGGCAGGAACAGACAGGCTCTCCTGGTTCTGCTGGCTTTTGTATTGTTCTCTGGGACACCACAAACCCTCCTGAAGAAGTGCCATACTCTAATTGACTGCCTGAATTGTTTATATGGGGAATACAACTTTCTACAAGTTCCCCATCGGCACCCAGGAGTACTGGGTCCTAGTCTTGGCTTGCTGCTAACTCACTTCAGGGTTTTTGGTGCTAGGAGCTTGGCAGCACTGCTGGCTGTGAGAATAAGAATCTCACCTTGAGCTGCTGGCTGCTGCTTGGTCAGATAATTAGAGACAGGCATGCAGGGATGGAGGAGCTATGACTCAATCAAGACACCATCCTTCTTCAGCCTTACAGCCCTTTCCTCTGAGGAAGCCCCTCAGTCCTACCCTACTGGTGCCACTGCTGTCCCAATGCCCTCCTGCCCTGCTCCACCATCCACAGACCCACTGTCACAGTCTGCTGCTCAAAGCATGGCCTTTCTGCAGGAGAAGCCCCAGCTTGCACAGAGGGGCTGCTGTCTCAGAAAGTCTTTAGGGGACATTGCAAGGGACTGGAGCTCAAATCCCCTTCGTAAAGAATGGTGAGCCAGAGCACCATCTAATGGATCTGGGTAGCTGCCCTGGCACATGGTAGTGCCCTGCTATCACCCCCAAGGCATCACCTCGCAGCAGTGAGGTGGGTGGTGGACTGCCTCCCCTTGCAGCTTTCTGCCCTTCCTTATCCCCCCGGGCAGCGGTACCTCGATTTCTTTGTCAGATGTTTCAATCTTGAAGGGATGGATGCTTGTGTCTTCTTTCCCTTTGGGGGGCCTTTCGCCTGAGCCCCACCACCCTTCGCCCATGTCAATAGTCTTGATCTTGCGTCCAGATCTGAGCCAGTAAAGCAGCATCCCTCCAACTCCCAGGGCAGCCACAGGAACCAGGACTGCATTCTTCTGAGAATAGTCAAAAGGCCTGGGGAGGCACAAAATTGCTTGTGTTCAACAACAGCAGTGTCAAAGGGACTTATGCTGAGGCTTGTTTGCACATCCATAGGGAATGAGCAGGGACAAATGTCTCTAAATCCCAAGCAGTCAGCATAGACTGGGCATTTCTGTTATTTTTGAAGATCACAGGCAAGATTTGGGGCAGTGTTCTATCTACCAAGGCTTCTTAGGGGTCTCAAGTCTTTGCGGATCAGGACTTGCTGATCACAAGTCTTCCTTGTTCCCTTCCTTGTGAACCAGGATGCCCAGGGTGACAAAGTTCAATAGGATATGGGCCAAGCTACTTTGAGGCAGGTACTGCAGTGAATGAGACAGTAGCAGCTGGTCTTGTCCAGGAATAAAAACTGTGGGCTGAGGAGCAGGAGGAGAGACAAAAGTCTTCAGCTGCTGAAGAGAACTGTATGTGCTGAACGTGCTCCTCTTGCCAGTGTTTCATACACAGCTCCCCTACAGATTCAATCATCTCTTTGGGCAATCCTAGCTCTGCCCCGTAGCTCTCACGTAAGGAGTCTCTGCTGGCGCCCCTGTTTCTCTTCTGAACAGCAAGGTCCCACACTTGAGGTGTGGGAGCCAAGTTGCCAGAGCTGGAGTCGACAGACATGCAGTCCTAAATGTAGTGTACCTTCTCATCCCTCTGATTTGTGTTTCAAGTTCTCTAGCTTCCCTTGGGGATTAGTAGAGATGTCTGGGGCTCCTGGAGGGGGCTGCAAGGGAGCTGTGAGTGAAGATTTTTTCTATTGTCATCCAGAGTACAGAAGGGATGATGCTGTGCCCCAGTCAGGGCACTAACCAAACAAGGAGACCACAGCACAGAACAGCTATTCCACTCACCTGATCTGAGACATGATGCTCTCCCTACAAAAGGGGAAAAAAACAAAGATCCTTACAGTCTGATAACGTTGTCCTATTCCAGCCCTTCTGGATGGTGCAAAGAATGCCCCCTGCCAGCACCACTCATTGCCCAGGGATGTGATCACAGGCTCTTTAGCCACCTGGCAACATCTGCCATTATTTTTCCTACTCTTTGGATTGGATGGGTAGAGAGGGGCTCACAAAGCACGGCCTCTGTACAAAGAGACAGTGTTTCTGGGCTGTGCTTTAGCTAGATAATTTGTTGCCATAATATTCCCTCCTTCAGCACAACTTAGATGAAAGACAGTAAACAACTGCGTAGGTGTCCTCGCACTGTTTCATCCTGTGAGCAGCTGTGTATCTTCAGCCAAGGAAATAGTTTACTTTGGCTGCTGTGTTGCAATAGGTGCACAGCCTCAGCAGGGCAGTTCCGGGCTCCAGGACTGTTCTGCTCCCAGCCATGTAGTGCTGATCGTGCTGCAGGGCTGGCACCATTAGAGGCTTATGGATCCTTCCCTATCCAGAGTTTAAGGTGCTGCTGTACCTTTGACACTTTTAGCTACTCCTGACTGGATATCAAGCCTTTAGGTCTCCCCTGTCTGCTAGGAAAAGAAAGAATCCTCCTTGGTTCCCTTTAAGCCTAGTAGCTTCTGGTACAAAAGCACAATCTAAAATCTAGCAACAATAGAAGCAAGTCTTGTTACTCTGCCTTGTGGGAAGGAGCTACGTTAGGAAGTTCTTTGGTACAATTGTACTTTGAGAAAACAAACCAGAACAAAGACCAAAAAGGAAAAATACTTGCTATTCCATGAAATACTAACTCCACTGGGTGTTTTTATCACCTAGAATTGTTTCCCTCTGTTGTTTGAAGTGCAGAGCCTGGAGCCTGTACTGGGTATTTCAGTAACCTCAAGGCAATTTGCTAACATTTGCTGAGACAGCCTATTGTGTGATTTTTTTTTCCTTAAATCACTTCCAGACATGGAAGAACAGGGCTCCTAAGAACAAACAGCTTAGGCAACAGGTAGGAATAGCCCCCTGCATTTACATCCTGGAGTCGATGAGCAGAGGTATGAAACCAGCTATCAAGGCAGTAGCACAAACCCTGCGCTGCTAGCAAAGCAAGCCTGTCCCAGAAGCAGCTCTCTGAGCGACACAAAACAAGGCTCAGTCGATCAACACCTCCTCCGCTCTCATGCTCAGGAGAACTCAGCTGCCTGCTCCCACTCTCCCACCACCTGGTGACCCTCCCCGCCCCAAGCCCAGGGAGCCCGGTCCGCAGTCCCTGCTCCCGTGCCCGGGAGATCTCTCACCAGGCGTTTGGAAGGGTCTCCCGCCACATGTCTGCTCGTCCTTGCCTGGCCGCTGCTCCCGGCGAGGCCGCGATCCCAGGTTCTCCTCTCCGGCTTTCTCTTCCTCAGTGACGTTTTCTCGGGGACAACGCAAACTACATCGTCCATCAGTGCCACCTATTGCCCGCGTCTGCGGCTGCAAACTGAGCTCGGCGGAGGCTTCCTGCATGCAGCAGGAACAGCCCTGTGCCCCAGTGCAGGCTGGATGCCGAAGGGATCGAGAGCTGCCCTGAGGAGGCTGCCCTGAGCTCCTCGGCTCCGGCTGTGGCGGCAAAGGCTTATACCGCTCGTGCGGAGCCCTGCAGCGGGAGCTTCCGCCAGCAGCCTGAGGGAAGGGATTCTTCACTCTCCTCAGCGCTCCCGAGACCACTCTTGGATTGCGACAGCCACTCCTGGCCTTGCTGGTAGAAGACAGCCTGGAGTGGGCCCAGCCTTAGAAGTACAGGGCCACCAAGCTGCTGGCTGGGACATGGTGGTGTATGAGGAAGGCGAAAAAGCATCTTCATCCTGGAGAGGAAAGAGTAAAGGGTGGGATCTTATTGCTGCCTACAGTTAACCACTGAAAAGCTGAGGGAAAATGGACTCAGAGTCATCCCGGAGAAGCAGCAGGTGAAGGACAAAATGCAAGGACCCAAATTGTAACAAGAGAAGTTAAGATTAAATGTGAGGAGAAATTAATCCTCCACTGAGCTATTCAGATGCTGGAACAGGGGTCCAGAGAGGATGTGGGATTTTTACCCTTGAGGGCATTCCAAATTTGACAGGAACATGGCACTGAACAATCCGACATAGCTGAACCTGTTTGGAGCAGGTGTTGGGATGAGCTCACCCCCAGGTGTCCCTTGCAACCTTGAAAGTGACATACAGGTGTCCCTGTATATCACTTGGCTGTATTCCAAGCGCACACATGATTTTCAGCAGCCAAAACATAAAGGAAAAGTTCAGTTTTTAATTTTCTACAGAAATCAATGCTATGTTTTAATTCAGGTACTGAGATTTTATTTTCCTTGTGGTTGATAAAATAGTCCTGGATAAAGGCTTCTCCTTCATAGGAATTTGACAGCTTGGGTAAATAAGAGTTCAAAGTCTAAGGAGTATTGGGTGGGGGGAAAGTGAGCAGAAGAGCAGTATGGAAAAAAGAATGCATACATAAAAGTGGAAGGTGAATCACTGAAATATTGTGCATTATGCTCAGTATTGTGCCTTTTACATTTTCAACAAGAACATGTACTTCAGTAAGGACTACTCTTCTTGCTTCCTTAAGTGGCAGAGCAGTGGCAGGGAGACTGCCACCAGGGTTTTATTTGCTTACAGTCAAGAAAGACTGATATTCATCCTTCTGTCAATTTGTTTTGCCTCTCAGAAGCCTCTAGTTAAAGATTCTTTTATACTCTGCTGTATCTGTTATTAAGCTTCCAAATAAAATACATTAGTGGAAGGCTTTATAAACAAAAGATAGAATTACAGGAGTAGGAGGAACAAAAATGAAACACAGCTTTCTAGCTTTTTTATGTTACAACTTACGTTCCCAGGCAAGTATATAGTAAAAGAAGAATTTACACTGCATAAAATCCACAATAACCCTGTGGGTTTCCTAAATCAAAATGTTGTTGAATCAAAACTTAGTAATGTGCCTAAGTAGTGACTCATGGACATGGCTTCAGTTATTTACCAATGTTTATTTATCCAGTCCCCATGGCAAAAAGCACATGAAACACTCTCAAGACCTTCACAATCGGGGAGTCAACAATGGTCCAAAACAAAATATTTGCTTTCTTCCACATAAATAGTTACCTCTGATTATCCAGCTAGCTACTAGGGCTGATGATTGCTACCTCTTGGTGCAAACTTGCTCCCACTTTGTTGTTTTGTGCTGCAACCCTTGAGTACTGGTGCAGCCTGCCTGCCTCTCCTTCCAGCTCAGCACAGCAACTCTGAGACTGCACGTACCTGGGTGTCCTTTCTGCTACATCTTCTGTGCTTCTCTGGCTTCAGGATGTGAGTTTGGATTTGAACAACCACATTGCCATCAGAATGTGTCATGAATGGCATTGGATGCAAATATTCCAGATGTGAAGGGACACCATTACTGCCTCCTGCCATGAACTGTGGTCAGTTTGCCATTGTTACTCGGACAGTGTCTCTCACTAGGAGGTGCCATGTGAATCTTGACTGGCTGCTGACCATTTTTGGGTAGTCAAAGCTTCTATGCGGAGTAGCACTTGAGATGTGCATAGGCAATCTCCAAGCTATTTTCATTCAAACAGAACATAGGAATTTTTTAGCATGTGGTTGATTTATCATTATTGATTTTGTAATCATTATGTGCCCTTGAACAGTCATGCTCAGCCCTGCCCTTCTGTTAAGGAATTAGCATACCAAACTGCAGAGCTGAAGGTGATAATACCACACCCTACAACAGAATTGGTTAAATTACAAAGACAGAGACTTTTTGAAAATTTTACTGGGGAAATGAAATAAAGCTTTCTGAAGAGAAAGCACATGGTAAAGGACTCTAGTCTTTTAAGCATACTGTTTCATACTGTTGCATGAAAATTTAAGCTTATTAGAGAGAGGAGAACTGATCCCTCTCCCCGGTCCAACATGTTATAAAAGTCCTGGGAGTGTGTGGAAAGTGATGGGCTTCCTAACAATGCCCAAGAAGGAGCTGATACCCTATAGCCTTCTCTCAAATTATTGTTATTCATTCCAAAATTTAGAGATCAGGCCTGAGACAAAAAAACTCTTGGAACCAACCCCAGCTTGCAAGTTCAAGTATCAAAAATAGTTGTGTAAATTATCTAATATTAGATAACGTTAAACTTCACAGAAGGAAAGTGTTGCCTTCAAGAACACACTGGAAATCATGGATGATCTTTTTGACCCTTGGGTGCTGAAAGATTGCTGCATGTATTCCCCCCAGGCCCCGAGCCTGATTGAGTGCAGATTTTGCACTCAACAGGTGCTAGAGGAAATGAATTTCATAAAGGGATATTAACTAGATTTATGAATAGCAGCTCTGCCTTACAGGAGTTTCAGCATGCTTTCCTCTTCTTTCCTTTCTTCTCTATCTACAAGATGGGGGCAGGAAAGGTCCCAGTGCAGCGGTTCTGATCTATTGTACTGAGATATGGGGTGGCTGTCAGAGGCTGCACAAGCTGAGTGTCTCAAACCAATGCTGGTGCATGTGTGGTTGAGGATGGGTCAGGCCTTGCTTCTGGTGAGACAGTGCCCCACCCCCAGACCCCCAGCCTGGCTGAGCTGTCAATCAATCAATCAATCAATCAATCAATCACTAGTGGCTGTGCTAACCCAGCTCCTGATTCTTTCCTGCTGTAGACAGGGAAGGATTAAAAGAAAGATTTAGGTTGGATTCAGATAATTTTAGTAGTATAATTGTACTGTATGTCATTTCCCATGATGTCCACTGACCTTTTCTCTCTCCCTGAGTACAGGTTCTGGGAATCTCCCTGAAACCTGCTTGGTGGGAGGGATAAGGATGGTGATCTGGGACATGTGTATTTGTTTGGGTTGTAGGGATACCTGGACATGTAAGATTGTGGAGACCAAAAGGCAAGGTGGCCTAAACTGAATTTGCCAAGCTTTTTTTGGAACTCAGTTTACAAGTCCAATAAGTATCACAAATAGTTGTGTAAATTATCTAATGTTAAAGAATACTAAAACTCAAAGTAGGAAAGAGATGCCTCCAGGAGTACAGGGAATAACAGATGATCTGCTAGATTTCTTTAGGTGCTGAAAGACTGCTGCATGGACTCGCCCCTTAGAACCTGAGTATCCTGTGATTTTTGGATTCATGTGATGGTGGGGGGAATGGACTGCATAAAAATATGTTAATTAGGTTTTATTGATGTAACAATTGCCCATTGTCTCAATATGCTTTCCTCTTCTTTCCTTTCTACTCTGCCTTCTAGATGGGACCAGGAGAGGAAAGGTGCACTGATTAGACTGAAAGAAGAAAGGTCCCAGTGCGATGGTCCTGGTTATGTCTTGAGAAACACGATCATTGTCAAAGACTGGGTAATTTTAGTGTCTTGAGCCACTTTTTGGGGTGCTTGAAATGCTTGCTTATGTGCTGCTAGGTGAGGTGGTGCCCTGCCCTGCCCCCAGACCCCCTCAACCCTGCAGAGCTGTCAATCAATCAATCAATCAATCAATTAATCACTGACATGGGAGGGTGGTGTTAACCCAGCCCCTGACTGGCCAAGCAACTGGAAGTCTCTCCTTAGGGGAAAGGCCCATGGAGACTTAATAGATGCAGCACAAGGCCTGCACATGGTCTTGACCCTGCCAGCTTCCTGGAGTTCCTATATCCCCCTCAATGGAATCCTAGGAGGTGGTAGATCTACCTGTGTTCTTCCAAATCTCTTCTGTCTTTCTGTCTTTCTCTGTCTCTTTCTCTGTCTTTCTCTGTCTCTTCTGTCTTTCTCTCTCTCTTTCTTATCCTAATTCTCTTTTCATTGAACTTTGTGGGTAATGTCAGATCTCATAGGTTTAAAGGTTTCTAGGTGAAATGGGCTAAGTAAATGCTAGGTACTAAGTTAATGCTAAGTAACGCTATGATAAGTGAATATGTTGTCATCTTTAATCCTTTTGCCAAAGTCTCTTTATTTTCTGTGTTTTTGCCAGTAAGCTTTTATGTGATTTTTCACCTCTTAAGAGTATTTGGCTGGAATTCCTCTTTGTGCCAACTAGTGTAAAGGAACCTTCCATTTAATTCCTGGGTTTAAGTATTTGGGTGTAACAAGGGTGAAGTAGCAGCTTTACAGCTGCTGTCACATGCAATCATGTTGACTCACACAGGTACAACACGGATATTCTGACAGACAGTAGCAATTGATCAGCTTGGCTACTGCTTTGCAATAGCTACTTACACTCAGCCAGTAGTTGTATTTATTGAGGATTCCTATGAATTATCACATAATTTTTAAAACCAGTCATAAGACTATACTTGGAATGTTGTTTCTGACACAGGGACTGCTTTCCAGAAAAATTAGCCTGCATCCAGATTCAGTGCGAAGACATTGCATTCTTGATCCAAGAAACAAAACCAGGAATTTGGACAAAACCAGGCTTTGATGGCTGGGTACAGTCCAGTCCCCAAGAGGTGGCTCCATATTGGACAGATCTGTTCTTCTCTTGGCAGACCAGAGGTCCTCCAACTTCAGCCTAGGGAGGAAAAGAGAGTGTGAAGTAACTTCTCTAGTAATAGGGACACTAGGCATGCAAGCAGCAATACTGGCAGGAATAATATTGTAGCTTTAAAATGTGACTGACACAAGGACTGCAGAGAGAGAAAGTATTTTATTAGACCTACTGGAGTAAAAGAATGGGTGGGGGGGAGGAGGGGCCAGGAGAGAGGGGGAAAGTCCTTGTCTGTAAGCATCCAGGCCATGCTCTTGGTCTGAAGATCCACCAATTATGGATGTGAGTACATCCCCAGGTCACCGTGAAGTCAGTTACACACACAAAAATTGAACTTTCCTAATTTTCCACATACCCAAGCTACATGATCTGAACAAAAATAATTTAACTGTTTTAATGCTGCTCCTTGAAATGCAGGCATAGCAGGATATGAATACCTGTGTCTGATGATTTTTGACTCTACCAATGAACCCACTGCCTACAGTCTCTAAGTCGAGGCAGTATATTACAGGCTTTGCTTCAAGTGAGTGGGGTATTCACAACACTGGGCTAATATGAATAAGATATTACCTTAAACAATGATCCTGTTATTGTGGTTGACTGTGTGAATTAAGAAAAAAATTTGCTGTGAATACCTCAGTTCTTAGGCTTCATGTAGAGACATTGAGCTTCTGAAAGTATTTCTGAGCTTTGAAAGTCCAAATTACATGCATTTATCTGCTCATAGTCAAAGTTAGATTATTCTTGACCCAGTTATCTATGCTTCCCAAAGTAAATTCACCACAAAATTAATGTTTTTTAACACCTCCATTCATAAATTCAGGGTGATCATATATATTCATATCAAGGAACTTCAGGCATTTTCTATAACATATTGCAAATATCTGGAGAGATTTCAAGGTTTTTGCTAAATTGGTATCAGTAAGCGCTTTCATGAGAGAAGCATATTTCAGTAGCCCATTAGACTGAAGGAGCAACTTTTGCTTCCAAGGACTTTGCTACAGGTAGTTCTTTTCTGCTGCATGTAAGAAGAGCACACAAATCAGTTTAGGAATGTGTCTTTTGTCCAACCCTGTCACCTTCCTTTGCAAAACAAGTAACTCATGCAAAGCTCTACTATACTTTAAGATATGTCATGCCACTTTGACCAGTGTGAACTATTAATTAAGGAAGTAACAAAACAGAGTGAAACCTTATTTATCTAATTTTACAAAACAAAGCTGCCTTTGAACAATACAAGCTATGGTCACCCTCCTGAAAACATAAAGCACAACACAAGCAAAATTCTTGTGATAATAGCAGTCACATATTTCAATAGAACACAACTAGAGAAATACTAGAAATGTCTGTTTTCCTCTTTTTCACCTAAAAGAAAATGACATCCTTCAGAATACACTGTAAAAGGACATAGGCTACAGGACATATACTAACTAAAGAGAACTTGCTGCAAAATCCGGCAGTACAGATCTGAGAGCTGCAGGAGGGATGTAATTGCAGGCCTAGTCAGTGTTCTGGTTTTGGCTTAGATAGAGTTTTCTTCTTAGTAGCTGCTAGAGTGCTGTGTTTTAGGTTTAATAACAGAATAACAATTATAACACTGATATTTTGGTTGTTGCTAAGTAGTGCTTACTCTAAGTCAAAGACTTTTAAGTTTCCCCTTCTCTGCCAGTGAGGAGGTGCACAAGAAGCTGGGCAGAAGCACAGCCAGGACAGCTGACCTGGCCTGGCCACAGGGATATTCCATCCCAAAGAACAACATGCTTATTACATACACTGGATGGAGCCACTAATTGCTGCTCAGGAACAGGCTGGGCCTTGGTCAGCAATTGTATTGTGCATCACTTTTGTTCCTTGGGTTTTGTCTCTCTCTCATGTTTTCATTACAATTATTATTATTATTGCTGCTATTATTATAGTTGTTGTATGTAATTTTGCTTAAATTATTAAACCATTCTTATCTCATGAGTCTTACTTTTTAAAAAATATTCCTCCCCACCAAAGAAAGGGTGAGGGAATAAGTGAGCAGCTGCATGGTACTTAGTTTCTGGCTGTGGTTAAATGATGTCACTCAAGAATTATTTGATAGGTTGCTATTTCCTGTACCCACAGACTCTACAGGACACAACACTTAGAGCCAGCTGTTACCAGATGTGGTGAGTGTAGTCAGGCCAATGTTTTGTTCCATCATTCCAGGGGAGGCATTCGGTTCAGACTGTTGTGTATGATCATCACACCTCTTGATATTGCAGTACTCCCATATTGTGTTGGGGTCAGTGGTGAAACACCACGGGCTGCTGTCACCATCTGGGTTTCTACAATAGTTGTCCCTCAAATCCCTGCACAAATAAAATCAACAGTTATGCTGCATAAGACTGAAAATAAGCATAGGAATATCTTGACAAAAAGATGTACTATGTACAAATAAATAGATTTATTGTTAGTTTTACTTATGGCCGGATATTCTATTACCAGCAAGCACATCTGTCGTTGTGATGCTAGTGAAAAGTTGTATTTCACATGTGCATTGGAGTCTTGAATATATTTATACATAAGGAAACAATTCAACTACTGGCTTATTCTCTGGCTGTAATATTTCAATGTACTGAGTACCTAAATAATTGCCCCATATAGCAATTTAAAAAAAATTTACAAATAGGTGTGTGCAAGCATACACAATTGTGAATTAGTACAGAATGTGTGAATTAGTAATAAATATACATGAAAATTCATACTACTGGGGGGAACTTAGGCTTTTCCAAATTTTTTTAAATGTCAAAATTCTTTCTCATATTCAGAAGAATGGCAAACAAATGCTCATGCAATTGATCCCATCTTACACCCCAAAACTCAATTTTTACTGACTTCAGTGAGACCACTCCTATGCCTGTGTTTGCTGGGGCATGGGGGAGTAGAATTTATCTTTTCAATAATTTGCAGAGTTGCAGTATTTCCCCCTGTTAAATCACAGCATGGTTTCAGAATAAAAAAGAACCGCAATGCTTTTTCTCTGAATATGACAGAACACATGAATGCCACATTTTCCGAGATTGATTTGAATTTTGAAAAATATTTTTGAATTATATCATCCCCCTCTGAGGATATTCCTGTTTTTTCATGACAAAATGTAAATGAAAATTTCAAATTATTTAGGGTGGCAGCATAAAAAAGGCAAAAATTAGAAAAGTATCAATCTTCCTTCTTATAATCCACTAAGCATGATGAATTTCCTCACAATTGCTCCTGTAACTGTAATTCTGTTACGCTCCTGCCCTTACTAAAAACTGGCACTTTAGTGATTTTGATTAGCTTGGATTAGCTTGTCACTGCTCCAGTCGTTCCTGGTGCAGTTTTGTTAATTTGAAGAAGATAAATCAAGCAGAAATTTCAGTGTACACAATTCTGGGTGCCCAATTCCAACTGCAAAGAACACTTAGTATTTCTAAGCATGACATATCTGACTGCATGCTTTGTATAACATATGCTGTGTCCTCTCCAGATTAAATCATTAGAAAGGCCACAACAAAAAGTCTTAAATTCATAAATGAAACACATATTTCAGTAGGTGCCTTGTCTCTGGATGCAAGTCTCCTGGTGTTGGTTGCAGAAGATCATATTTAAGAGTAAGGGACACAGCTGTATTTTACTCAGAATTTAGATAACAAGGAAACACAATTCTTACAAACGAGACTAACAGAAAACATTTCTGTATCTTAGAAAAGTTCTCTTTTAGTAATATATTCCCTAGCAGTGTTTTAAAGCATAGCTGTGCAAAGATAATACAACCAGCAACAGTTATTGCCAGAGAAAGCAAGAAAAGGTGAGATAAACGTACGCGTGTGGGAATCTGTCCGGGGTTTTTATATGCATGTGCGGGAACATGGAGCTCCAGGCCTGGCACTTCTTTCCCGATACAGTGACAGAAGTTGTGCCACGATAACTCTGCCCTTTGCCTCGGTAGCACTCCTCTGTTAGGGGAGCTTGTACAGGCACAACTGCGGCAAACAACAGAAACTGGTCTTTGGCATCGTAATTTTAATGTTCTTACTGAGCAAGCACAAGAAAGCCTCAAACACACAGGATGACAAAAATGAAGTACTCCTTTATGCAGACAGTATCCAGTGAAGTCATCACACCTGCAGCAGAAAGGCATTTCCAAAGATACTGAGAAAACTTCCACAGTTTTAACATCTTATGTTAGATGTTTTTAAGTGAAAGGTTCACCAGTTAGTTTCATTTTGGCATAAGTGAATATATCAGAATTAAAGATAAGAAAGTTCTCATGCAAAATCCTCAAAGATCAGATACTGGTGACTTTGCCCATGATAGTTCTCAAACAGATATTATGTTAAACTTCAGTCTCTCTATTTTCCTTTTTATTGTGCTAAGACTTTCTTGTTGATTTTGTTCTTAAATGAATGAATGTTTCATTGTGATTTTTAGTTACTTTGAAAGCTCTTGTCCTCTCTTTTGTGGCTTCCAAAAATAGGAGTTAATTTTGTTTAACAATTTTTCATCCCTTTAAACCTTTCAATTTTTCAATGAATTTGCTATAATTGGCCTACCTTTGGGAAGAAAGGAATGTGAAAACATAAATATCTTTCATCCTGTAATTCTTCTGTTGAGTCAGCTTATGATTTGCATCTTTCACTGTATATCCCTAACCATTGAAAATTTAATATTTGGCAGATTTTGCAACATGACAGGCAGACAAACATTAAGCGTGACAAAGTGATTGAAAAAAAATAATACATTTACAATATGAAACAATAAATCTTTCACTGTTTTAAATTCCTTATCTCAAGTACAGTCCACCATTCATACCAGCAATCCCTTGTTCTGTCCTGTCACAGGGAGGAATAGTGCAATATTCCCATCTAATGCTGCTGTTGGTAGTGTAGCACCAAGGCTTCTTCTCTCCATCAGGGTTTCTACAGTAGTTTTCCTCTAAGCCCCTTAAAATAAGAAACAGGAACACTGATTTTAAACCAGTCATAGAAATCCAGAAGAGTTGTGTGCATGACTATTAACAACTACTGCATGCAGAACTCAACTTAGTGGTGTATTTATTCTTTTTGGAGATTGATTAACCCATGCATCACTCCTTTGGGACTAGTCAATGGCCTTCAACTTCACAGTCTGAATGCTGGAGATATCGGAAGAACTTTTCCAATGCTTACACTTTCTGCTCTTGTTGTTGAGGTCAAGATGCAGCAGTAAGAGCACACAAGGCACTGATATCCCTGAGATTACAGTAAGAGCCAGGCAAGGCTGGAAGTGTGTAAATAGGAGCACTGGTGCATGCTGCACTCTGCCCTGTGAGAGTGAACAGGTTTCACTTCCCTAGAAAACTTGCAGGCTCAAAATACAGAGCTATAAACCAGGTCAGTCCTAGCTATGCCTGCACATCGGTAGTGCTCTGCAAACTCAGCTCCTCTGACCTTGGAGCACAAGGATGTACTGGAGTATGTTGTCCTTGGAGCATCACTCTTCAGAAGAGTAATGCACTGAAAATGCGCCAAAAGACAGCCAAGGGATTTTTAACATAAAAGTAGTGAACTACTTATAGCTCTCCTGTGGGATATGGAAGAGACAAGTGAGAAAAATACATCAGAATAAACAGGGAGGCAGAAAAAATGAAGAGCAAGATCTGAACAGAAGTAATGAGCACTGACAACTAGTGAGAATTACAAGTTAACAATATAAATTAGGAAAACCTGTCCTCCTCTTGCCTCTGCATCTGGATTGATAGGGAATAACTGTTCCTTGGAATTTGTTAGAATGATGAGGCTCAGCGTACTTGCAGGGATATCTGTCAGGAACCCAGCCATGCTTGTGAGGAAACTGCATGTTCCAGTGTTGACAGGCATTTCCTGATTCGGTGGTAGCTATCCTTCCTCGATAGTTTTCACCTCTCCCTGAAAGACACTGGGAGCCTAGGCCAGAGACTGGTGGGGGTGTAGCTGTAATGGGAAAATAAAAAAAAGAAAAGGAAAGGGAAGGGGAGGAAAATACTGGTAAATTGTGCTTTCAAAAATATATAAACGCCTTTGTTTCTGTAATGTTGAAGATGTGCTCTTTTTTCTTTCAGCAGAAGTTACACTGGTTAAAAACCATTTCAAAATCAAAGAGGACATTTTTATGGGCCTCCAGACTGCCAGATGGATGTCCTGTGTCTGCCCTTTTCCAGCAGCCAGTAAATAACTTTGCTGGGTTGAGACACACTCTGTGCCTACTGTCCCCTGAGACCAGAAAAGGAAAGGCAGTGAGAAGTCTTGTACAGTCTTGTAAAACCAAGTGAGATGGAGTACAGTAATGTAATATACACAGGTAGAGTGGAAGGCCAGAGGACCAAGAAAAATTGTGAGAGAAAGCCTTCGGAGCTGAACCTCTGGAGTCAGTGAACTGGGGAAGAGGGACAGAAGATATAGTGGAAAAAAGAAAGAAAGTGAAATGTTCTGCCATGTGGGGAACAGCACAGAAAACAAGAGTAATGATCAGAGGCATAGAACCGGCAGAGGGCAAATGGAAAATGAATTTACAGCACATACCCATAATATACAGAATTTCCCAAGGACATGAGTATGACCCTAAAAGTTTGATATGTTCCTTAAACTTTAAGCTTTAAGGACATGATGCAAATGCTATGGTAATTGTCACAATTTTCATACAAAAGTCTGTAAATAGTTATTCTTCCATCTGTAATTAAGGATGCTGAAGAGAGCTACATCTAGCAAACACACACCACTGCTTAGAGCACTGGCAAGTGTGGATACATAAGAAAGCAATCACTAGAGAAAAAAAACCTACACTTATAATTTTTTTTTTCTCAAAGTGCAATACACTTGTACAATTGGGAATGTTATCTCTTAATTCAGTGCCTTGGAAATATCCAGATTTAGTATGCTCAGCTTAATGGGTTAAGTCAGGTTTTTCTCCTGAGGCCTGAACCTGTTTCTCAGGATTCATCCCTTGCTAAGAAAAAGGCAGTGCTGGCTATGCAGATCACACCCAGGTAAAATATCACAGTATAGCCACATGCTAATTTAGATGATTTCTATGAGTTAGCAAATCAGCAGTAAACTACCACCTGATTAAACCTTAATGTCTTGCCTCCCAGGTGAGTTGAAAAGTAAAGTGGTTAAGGGCAAATTATCGTTTCCTATAACATCTTTGGCTGTACTGCACTTTGTGACACCTTCATCCTCACTGACCATACATGATTTTACATAATAGAAGTTTAATGAGTGATTGTGCTTATAAATGTGCACTTTTCCCGATTCACAGAGATACCTCTAGGTTACTCAGAACTGTGGTTTCTTTTCTTTCCCCTCTCTGCATTATTTTAATGAACTATCCTCTGGAGTGATCTCAGGAAATCAGACTCACTGCAACGAGGAATGTTGCAATATTCCCAGCGTTTATTTGGGTTGGTAGTGAAACACCAGGGCCGAAGTTCACCATCAGGATTGCGACAATAATTCATCTTCAGATCCTTCTCTGGATAGCTGTACATTGAAAATGAAGAGAAACTTGTGAGTCAGCAACAGCCATGTGTAGCAATGAGGCTGTCTGCAGGCAGGATCTTCCAGCCTCTGTGGGAATGAATTTGGTGTTGAGTGTGACTCACTGTTTCAAGATAAATCCGTGCATATGAGGTTCTTGGACATCCCAGTGCTGGCACTCCAGTCCAGACTCTGTTCTCGAAAGTTGTCCGTGGTAATCCTCACCGTTACACTGCATGCACTCCCCCAGAGGTCCTAGGCAGAAGGAAAACCGCAAGGAATGCTCCAGCCTATTCATGGAAGATTATGCTGAAAGGACAAGTGGGGTTTGCTCCAGCTAACAACAAAAGGAATTCAAAAATCTATGCATTACAGCCCGGCCAAATTAATAATGCTTCAGGAATATGTTTCACTTGCAGGGAGGAATTTGTCATGTGTCTGTATGTACTGTTAGCAATGGCAGTTCAGTGTGTTGCACAGCACTTGGGTCAGTCTTTACCCTTGTTACAATTAAATAAATTGCAGGTGTAAGAGCAATATAAATCCTTATCCAGATCATCCTAGTTCTCTGCCAGTAGAGTTAAAAGTAACAAGACAGATGAAGATAAAGCAAACAATATCAGCAAATATAGTTCTTCTATGTTTACAAAATAATTTTGAGAACTCAAGCCAGTTAGGAAAACAACCTCTCTGTTGAGAACTTCTTAAGTTCATCTTGGTTTAAATTCTAATTTGAAAAAAAGTATGTAAAAATAAAGCACAAAAATGTAGCAGGAATAGTGTTACCAAATTGAACATCTCTTTTCTGAAAAGTAAATATACCTTCTCCAGTGTGCATGACCTGGTCCTCACACTCTGGGATGGCACAGTAATCAAATCTCGTAGTAGGATCTGTTGTGTAACACCAGGGTCCACTTTCATCTGCATCAGGGTTTCTGCAGTAATTTTCTTCCAACCCTGCATTGGGGTGTTTTCCAGGTGTATAGCTGTAATAGTATTAAAATTCTATTTTAATGCCAGTACTTTAGTGGCACAGAAGGGAAACGTCTAACCTGCTCAGCTAGCTGTGAATTTTATTCATTCACAGTTAAAATTAGAGAAACTGATTTCCCATTGTAAGCCATAAACGAAAACTGAAAAATCATTCCTAGCTACAATTATTAGTAGCTTTCTCCCTAGCCCCAGTTGCTAGTAAGAAGTGAACTTACAGCCTTTAAGGACAATGACAGTCTCAAGGGACAATTGTTGTCTTTAATTGTGCATCCAGTTGATCTCATCAGCTCACTACAGACCCATGGCTCTGTCACATGTTTGTCTTAATGGAGCTACTTTAAAAGTTGTGTATTTCTAGAGATTATTCACCAAACATATCTCGGTCTCATAGAGATCTGAAGCAAGTGAAGCTAGGCTTCTTCCTGCAGCAATCTTCCCAGAGAAGACTAAATTACTTTTAAATTATCTGAACAAGAGTATCTGAGTGTATTTAATTATAATAAAAACAAAATATTTTTTAAAATAAAACTTCAACATAGATGAGAAGACACAGGACCTCTGCTTCCCCACTTGTTTCAGTGAGTCCAATGGCAGCCAGGCCTGAGAAGACTCTGCCTAGTCAGATCCATTTGGCCCTTGGATACTTCTCTCAATTTTTTTTTTACTATCTGTATGGCAGGTGGGGGAGCAGGGGGCTAGAGTTGCACACCTGTCACTTTATTCAGAGGAGAGTAATTCTGAGCCCACTGTTACCAATAGCAAAAATCTTAATTGTGTTGAGAGAAGGAGCATTTAACCTCACATTTAGACACAACTTCTCTAGCTGAAAATACATCCTTTCCTTATCCAGATCATTGCAGTAGTGTCAAAAGTAACAAGACAGATAAAGATAAAGCTGTTTTTAAAAGTCACCTGACAACAGGATTTGATAACTTGCACTATAAATCTGTGTATATATATGAAGATGAGAAAACTTGAAGAAGGTTCAGAATAGTGAAAAGAAATGTAAATAGGGACATACTTTGGTTTGTGGGGTATTTCTTCTGCCCACTTCTGGCATGGAATACCCCTCTGAGTCTTGGCTTCTGTGCCTCTGTAGTCTGTCCCAATACCTCTTTTACACTGCATAAGGTAAACTGAAATGGAATTAAATTTGTTAATTCAATGGTGTTACAACATTCATTTCCTGGTACTGAAAATTTGCAGATATAACTGAAGCTCAGCTGTACATGATGAACCATGTTTTACTCATGTTTTACTCATGTTTTGAAGCTCTTGTGCCTGCAAACATTCTATAATGTATTTCAAAATAAAAGCATCTAAAGACAGAAATTTCTGAAGCATTGTTATAAAGCTATATAATTAGGTCAAAAGAACAGCTATATCAAGTTTCTGATAAGCAAAGAATAATACCAGGATAAATAGGAATGTCTTTCAGCAGCAGCTGGGGATTCTTGGAAAGGCCTTGCTCATAAGCACATTTGCAGTGTGGGCCTCATCCAGCTATCCCTTTAAGCCAGAAAATACTTAGTTGTCAAAATGCACTTGTCATGTAAGTGGTCCCCAAACTTTTGATTCATCTTAGACTTGGACTCTCCCAGGTATTTTTCTAGTGGAACTCTAAGACAGAGAATGCAAATCATGTCAACAGTGCTTTTATTGGCAACAGACACAGAAAAATCTCCATTTATTGAGGTCAGTGATCTTGACTTCCCCTTCCTTTTTCCCTTTTTTGTTTAAACAAGAAGAATCTCCCAAAAGCTCAAAATATAAAATGAAAATGTTTAAGTAATCCAACAGGAGACCAATCTGCTAGGAAAAATGTGTTCCTCCTAAATTATTTTAGCCTGTCTAAATAATAAAGCTGGGCACATCTGACACCCAGGGAGAGCAGGTAAAGACTATAGAGCTGGGTCTGGAGGAAGGCAACAAGTAAGTTCCAGTTCGAATGGCACATGGAGACCACCATGGGTCTAGGCCTTGGTATTTAATCCTTCTTTAACAGCATTTTTAGTAATGTGGCTTCTTCATGTTTGCCCCCAGATTCTCTATTAGTTTTCTGCCCTATACAAGAATTTGCTCCAGCACTGCAGCAGAGAACAGAAGGATGCCATTAGAATAGGCTTGATGAATAAATATTTAACATCTTACTGTACACATACTTCTCTTCTCATAAAGAACTGTGTCTGTGCTGGTGAATGTCACTGTCATTTTAGCATTTTCAGCCAGTGTTAAACACTGTAGTTTTTTCCTGGTGAATAGGAAAGCCCTGTTGAAATTGAGAAGGAAGCAATATTGACATAAGAAGCAATATTTTAAATTCAATTAAAATTATTAATCTCATAATTATTTTTATATAAATTATTAATTTACTGTCTTATAATCATCTTTATCTTTCACAGATACTGCACTCAATATTTTAGACAAGTAAGAGGTTAGGGTTATCTACTACTCTCAAGTGGCTCACTTATTCAGGATATATGACTACATGAATAAATTATTGTGTGGGAAACTAGAAACTGCATTGGCAAAACATTATCAACATCATCCTAGCTGCTCAGGTTAGTGACTGCCCCTACAATGAACTAGAAACTCTTGTGAAAAAAAACAGCATCCAGCCAGAGAAGCTCAATCAGTTCTCCATGTAATGTTGGATACAAACAGGAACTCGAACATTTACTATAAAATGAGTAGTACATTGTAAATCCACTCTTCACTTGATCCTGTGGTAATTTATGGCTGGAGGTAAGTCACAGGCTAAAGGCACAGCATGGGAGATGCTGCTCTAGGCAGAGCTGCAGCAGAATGGGGATATTGGTTCTGAGTAAAGGTAGGAATGTATCATTGATATGCAGACACCCACAATGGCACAGTTTTAAGATTCAACAGAAATTACCTGCAGGTAAAATTTCTTTCAGCTTCACATTTGTCTGCACATTCTCTTTCATTATTTGTCTTGTAAAACTGTTTGTTTTGAGTAAGTATCCAAACACCATCTGTTTTTGAATAGTCATCCAGTATATCTCCTTTCACTAGAAGGTAAAGAAACGGATCAGGCATTAAAAATGAGAATTCTGTAGTTAAGAAGATCTCTGGATTTCAGTCCCATTTTCCATGTAGCTTGGACAGGTGAAGACACCATTTATTTTGCATAATTCTGGGTAAAAGATGATAAACTCTGAGGTTATTTCTATCTCCTGACAGAATGCAACCTGTCATGTGAAGAAAAGAGACAGAAGAAAGATATAGAGGCAATTCTGATTAGAGTTATGCATGAGTTTGAAGTTAAAAGCAAAAAATGGGAAGCAAGAATGAGGGGGAATGGGGAGAGAGACTAAATGGTGTCAACACCAAACAGAGAAAGATGGAGGGAAGTGATACCCATATCAAGGTTTTGGAGAAGCATGAATTAGGTGGATGGGAGATTATGACCTGTCATGTGGATTGTGCAAGCCCTGCAGCTTCATTGGTCACTGCTTAGTTGTTTGTCCCAAGATGTCCTGCCCTAGAGCAAGGCACCTCAACCACAAAGTTACTCTATAGCCTTTTACAATGCCCACCATTGTTTTATTGCAATGGGTTGAGCAGGCTGAGTAATGAAATTGTCAGGCTACATCTCTGTTGCAACAAATTAACCCAAGATTTTAAATTAGTAAATAAGTTAGTATTAGATTTGAAAGCTACATATGCGTAAGTTTTCTATTATCTACCGGCTAATAATTCTAACACACCTCTAAAATACTGTAACTCACAGTTTACCACCTAATTGATTTTTTCTTTTTATGTCTAAAAAGGTTATATATTTCTGTTCCTAATTTCTACAAGAGTTTATTTCCATCTCCAGCATCAGGTTACAGTGTTGCACAAGTGAGCTCAATTGGCTATATGGTTTAATTTTTTCGGTTTTTTTCAATATAGATTATTATTGACAGATGCAGGCAGTTAATAATTTTGTACAGCGTGCTCACAGATAATGTTATGAATCTTTCATTTACACACTCATATTAGGGCTGAATTCACTGCAACATCTCTCTGGTGTTACTAATTCCCATGACATATGGGCCTTTCATTACCTACCTCCATGTGACACAGATTCACACAAAATAAAAGATATTTTGACCATTAATGAAAATAAGATTATTTATTGCCTGAGAGCATTTTCTGTGTCTCTTTGCAGAGTTGGCTCAAGGCTATAAAACCTGCATATCTTAAGAAATCCCTGACACTGAGGGATCTATAGTCCTGCTGTTACAGCAGGACTATGTAGAACACCAATAACCTAGCCTACTAATTTCTCCTGATGGAGTTAGTAAACAAGTGCTTCCTTTCCTGAATATTTTCCTAACTTAACTGAGGCCACTGTTCCAGGGGACTAGAAAAAGAAAATACTCCTTCCCAAACTTTATTTATTCATCTTAAAACTCTGTATTTTTTCAAAGAGCTCTACTTTGGATACTATTCCTTTTCAGTGACTATAAGGAAAAAAATTATTACAGTTGGATTGAGAATGAATACATGGGAAGTTGGATGGCATGCACAAACTAAAAATTAAAATAGATTGTCAGAAACTTAGAAAAGGTGATCCTGGTTGCCTGAAAGACACTGCAATGTGTAAACTTAAGAAAAGAATATAAGAGATTTTAAATGCATCAGGGGATATATTAGTCTGACTAAAATCTATATAAACCCAGATATTGCACAGGATAACTGAAAAGAATATTCAAATACATGTGAAAAAGCAAATTTCTTCATTTCCAGAAGCATCATTGCAGATTTGACCAGTACTAACCCAGAAGATGTAAAAATTGGCTTTAAGACAGTTGTGGACCATCACTTTTAAGCAAGTCAGCTAAAGGCTGATAAAAAATGAACAAATAAAACCCCCCAGTTTCTCAGTTGTCTTTTATAACCTTGTGCAGTCACAAAATGATATGTCCCTGGTATTCTGACCTTGAGTGTCTGAACTATTAAAAATTCATAAAAATTGTACTGATATGTATTTATAGTTCTTTTAAAAAGTAATTTAAGTACCATGTAATTATATGTAATTTCAAAGTACAAGAGAGTATGGTATCTGATTGAAATCTGATTGAAATACATACTACACATGTAATACTTATTTACAGAATTTGTTGATAAGCTTGAGATCCATATATTACCATCAGTAGAACATTTATCTTCTGTTGGGACCATAAGAAAGAATTCTGAACATATGCTTGGAAAAGATGATCTAGGTTACTGGGGAGTAAATTTCTACTACTGCCCTCAGGAAAACAAAGGAGAACATTTTTATTGTGTTTGACAACAGAAAATGTGAAATTTCTGGAATATTAAGGAGCCTGTCAATTTTGTATTTGGTTTTAAATATTCCATTTCAAAGCTTTAAAACTCCTGTCATAAAGGATGAAAATCCAAATCATTGTGCTTAACAATGCTTGGCAGTAAACACAGTTTTACCTTTAGCATTTGATCCAAAGCCTGCTAAAGCTAGAGAGAACTTGTCACTGACTGCTGTGGGTTTTGCACAACCTTTGACAGGTGCTTCCCAAGGGTGCCCACATCTCTGGCCATAGATCTGTTCTCCTGGGGCCATTAGCTGCCCATGCAGGCACCAAGGTCTGCTGGTGTTGCTATGAAAACAATCCTGGGGCAACCACAACTCTCACTTTACCCAACAGCAGCTCTTTCTGACCAGCAAGACCCAAACCTGTCATTGTCCAGAAAACGAGTGACACGTTGACTGAGGGACCTACCTGCACCACACACAGCCTGCTAGTGTTTGGCCCCAGTCTCACCCAGGCAAGCAGAAGGCAAAGGACTCTTACCTGAGCTGAGCAAGAAAAGAAGGAGAAAGGCAGCTTTGCTAATCCCCATTTTGGCCCAGCTGGTGGGTGCTGGAAGTTTGGTCTGTTGGTGCACAAAGTTTTATTGACTTGCACTGGAGTGAGGCAGCATCAAACAAACAAGGCAGGAGGATTAAGTTAATCATTCTCCTGTGTTGTGCTCCCCTTGCCATGGTGTGGCTATCAAAACAACCTTGAATTGGATGGATTACCAAATCAAGCTCAATAATTTCTACTGGTGTCTTGGTTCAACAAGACAGGAGTCTGTGAAGGAGGGCTAAAGCCTCCTGTGCAATGGAGAACGTAAACCCCCTCCCTCCAAATTACTAGGAGTTTTAAATTAAAAGGCTCTCAGGCAAAAATATGGGAATGGGAGTAACAATTCTTTACTAGGAGAAAAACTAGACAACAATTTAAAAAGGCAAATGCAATCGGTACAAACAAAACCAGTGAAAAAGTCCAGAACCTGAGGATTCGGGGTGCCAGTAGCAGTCCTGCTGGGACAATTGCTCCCTTTGCAATGGTTGATGAGTTGCAGCTGAAGTGGTGATCTTTAGAAGGGTACAGTTTTCCTCTGAAGATCTGGTGGCAGTGGGGCCGGTCTTCCTCTGCGCCGGGGTTGCCTCCG